AAAGCTTGAACTTCATCATCGAACTTAATGCCCACTGACAATAGTCTGGCTAAGATCGAATTCAACTTGTTGATATGCTCGGTAACTGAAGTGCCTTCTTTCATTTTTGTGTTCACCAGCTCTCTTATCAGAAAAACTTTGTTCGCTGCAGATGGCTTCTCATACATGTTAGACAGCGCGTCCATAATTCCCTTCGCTGTCTTCTCCTTCAGAATGTTGAACGCAACATTCTTGGTCAATGAGAGACGGATCACGGACATAGCTTTCCGATCCAAACTTGCCCAATCTGCATCCGACATCTTTTCTGGCTTGTCACCCAATACCACGTCCAAATCTTTCTGAACCAGCAAATCTTCAATTTGCATCTTCCACCAACTGAAATCTGTACCATCAAACTTCTCAATTCGGAACTTCCCGTCTTCTGCCATATCACACAACTAGACGAGATACCCGGTACAACTAATTTCAGATCTTGGTATTTTTTTTTCGTCAGAAAATCAAGCCCACCACTCCAAACCAATCAGTCCAAAAAAAAACCACAAGCTAGGCCCAAATAAAGTGGCTGACCAATTAAGATCAAAATTGGCCCACTGCCTACTTTCCTTCCCAAGTGGGCTGATCCCTTTTTTTTTCTTCGGTCCTGTTCTATGCGCTAGGGCAACAGTCGGCAACAACAACACGACGGTGGCTGCACAAAGTCTGGACGACGGTGACGGTTCGCAGCTAGCGATCTCGACGGACGGTTCCCGACGGCGGCGACTCCTTCTGCCGCTGCTCTTGCGTGCGGCGGTCTGTGCGCAAATGACGGCGGCGATTTGGGACCGCGACGGCGACTGGGTCAGCGGCGGCTCGAATGGACGGGATGAACTCGCGATGCGGCGGCGCTTCTCATTTGCTTCTGCGCGATTCTGACGCGACGGTCCTCTGCGCGCGGCTAGCAGCGACGCTCCTGTGTTGCTCGCGATGGTCAACTGACGGCGGCGGATCTACTACGCGACGACGGCGACAAGACCCAGCGGCGACGATCTGATCTGACGGTGGCGGCGCGATCTGAAATGGCGCGGCTTCGCGGCGGCTCCTCAACCTGGCGGCCGGCGGATCTCCTCTGCGCGCGGCTTCACGGCAGCGGCTAAGATCTGGATTGCGTTGGCACGTACGGTTCCCAAGAACCCTAGGCGACAAATTTTTCTCACAATTTGTGTTCTCGTGTGAATAATCTGGCTTTGATACCACTTGTTGGGGATTAAACACGCAACACACACAAATATCTGCGAGAATCAAGAGAGAAACGGAACACAAACGACACACGAGAATTTTAACGTGGTTCGGTTTCCCTAATCCACGGCTGCAACAGGAGGATTTTCTTATTTCACTTGTGGTGTCGATTACAAGTACAAGTATGCAATATATATAGGAAGAGTGCATCTAGGGTTTCGTAAAATGGGCCGGGCCAAAAGTCAAGCCCAAGCCTCCACAAACCCAACAGTACTATAATTGTCATTTCATTCTTAATTAATTGTCTCACTACGGCTCTCTTCTTTTGACAACAAGTTTTGTGAATAAATTCCCGCAGAGGGAAGTTTTGGTGCAGGCAATTCCCCAGGGAGAAAATCGGCTTTACTAAAGCCGTTTTTTACAAAAAAAAAAATTTTTTTGAAAATTGGCTTTGTAAAAGCCGTTTTTTGTTTAAAAAGTTTTTAAAAAATGGGTTTCATGATTTTTTCATTGCATAAAATATACACACTTACGTTTAAAAAAAATTGTGCCATTTCATAAACTATTTTTTATAATAAAAAGAAATACGGAGTATTTTTTATGATTCAATATATAATTTGTTTTAAAAAAATCAACCAATAAAAATTTAATAAAGAGATGTTCAACAAGAAAAAGAACGCAATATTGAAAACATAAATATATTAAAACATCAACAGAAAATTACATTCTCAACATCTGAAGTAAACAAGAATTACAATACCTTCCCTGAAACACAAACTAAAAAAATTATTAAACTAAAATCATCTCCTTGCCCTGAAATCCATCTCGCCCTGGTATCGATTGCGTTGACGTCTCCCTGAACGTGGAATCTCATCTGTTGGCCGTTTGGGTGGTAGAACTTTAAAGTTGCCAACATCCAAATTTTGAGGGAAAAGAACAGGTTGAATTATATCACTATAACAACTCAAATAGTTTTGAACCGAGTACCTAGCCGGTAATATGTTGTGAGGAACTTGTTGTCGAAAAGAGTGGTAAACAGCATGAACATGAACACAAGGTATATTATCAGAAGTCCACTGCCCACAAGTGCATACACTATTAAACAAATTGACCAATCTGATCAGGCCATTCATTATTTGGTTGAATGGTTTGTCCCTAAAAAAGAAGGGCAATCTTGAATTGGTCAAAACGACCAAAATGGGTGTCTTCGGTGTTTCACATCAAAACATCTCTAAATAAGACATTCCGTTCCTCAACAGTTAAATCAAAGCCCATGACGGGGAGTCCATCAATCGGAAGTCCTAGTAAGCATTCCACGTCTTGTAAGGTGATACCCATCTCACCAAAAGGAAACTGAAATGCGTGTAACTCCGGTCTCCAGCGCTCAACAAGAGAAGTGATTAGACCATGGTCTAATCGGATAGGTTGCACACGGTGCACTCCATAAAACCCTGATCGGTGCAAGTCGTGCAACATTTCATAAACTCTATCCTCAAAAAAAACCGTAGGAAGACTACCTTCGTAGCGAACCGGAGAGACTTTGTTGTCTATAAAATTCGAGTTATGCCACACCTCACGCGAACGATGTGTAGTTTGTAAAGTAAGAATGTCCCTCGATCTAGGACCCGCTATTTCTCTCTCAGGATCATACATTATGCTTCAAAAAACTTGTAGTAAGTTTCTATTTACTCATAGTACAATAAAATGGTTTAAAAAATCTTGTTTAAAAAAATATGCATTACATATTGTAAAATTAAAAAAAATGCATTTCACATTGTAAAATTTTTAAAAAATATGCATTACAAATTGTAAAAAAAATATGTATTACATATTTAAAAAACTTATAAGGAATTATTTTAAGAAAACATACCTCAACTTCTTGGATGATTATGGAAGAATAGATAAATTTTGAATATTTAGTGAGAAAAGAAGAGAAAGAATGTGAGATGTAGTTGAAGAGATTATGTATTTTGTGTAAAAAGAAGGATGCGATTTGATTATTTGTAGTGGAGTTGGGAGGGGTAGTAGTTGAAGGGATTAAGTGTGGGAATAAGAAGAGGTGGAGTGTGAAAGGGAGAAAGGGGAAGGGGGGTACTGCGCACTACGCATGCATGCACTGCGCATGCATGCATTAAATTTGTACAGCTCCTGAAATGGCATTTCAAAAGCCGAAAAAATAAATTCAAAAAGAAAAAAAGAAAATGGCTTTATGAAAGCCGAAATCCATTAAAAAATTAAAAAAAAAATTGGATTGCCAAAAGCCGATTTTCCTTCTCAGGAATTTACCTTTCCCACTCAGGAATTATATTCAAATTTTTTCCCTCTTAGGGAAACCACCCAAGTTTTGTTGTCATATTAAGACAACAATGAAGGGTCGAGATTGCGTGATCAGAGCCTCCGGTTCTTGAAACATACACGGGTGCTCTTCTTCTTTTTCTCTCTCTTTCTGTGGGTGAATCAGATGCACAGTTAAGGGGAGGTGGCAGTGATGTATGTTCCCTCCCAATCAGCCAAAAAAGTACTATGTGACGGGAGGAGGGGTGGAAGTACAGTAGGGATTAGGGAACCTAAACTTGTATCTATTTCCTACCCCAAAACATACACTGAGATTTTGTGCTAGTCTGGTGATTTTTTTTGACAAAAAATCTCAGTATAATTTTTTTTAATTGTGTTAACATTTTGTGTCAGTGTGAATCATTAAAATATCGGTACATTTCTTTGGAGTATAATTTGGGTACACTTTTTTGTGTATCCCTAGCTTGGTTGGAGGGATGAGATACCTGTAGCCATGTCGGAAATGCTTGGGGACTAATCTTACACCAATAGTTACTCCCCACTCCCCATACCAAAATATTTGCTATATTTCACAGAATCGGGTAAAATATCAAGTTTTTTCAATTCATTTTATTTAAGTATTGATATAAAAATAAGAAATAAAATTTACATATTTAAAAATTACATTAAAAATTCTTCGAAATAAAAGGTGTCAAGAATATTTTATTTTATCAAATACTCAATGAAAATGTACAAATAAATAAAATTTCCTATAACGGTTGAAAAAGGAAATGTGACATTCTTTTTTAGACGGAGAGAGTATAAAAAATTACTTTTTCTGTCCCAAAATTGTTATTCTGTTTTGAGCAATGTTTGAAATATTACATACTTCATACCCCGTAGTATTATTTTTAAAGTGTTATTGACTCTATTATAATTATGGTATATGTTCATATTTTCTCGATTTGATAATGTAAAGTGGGCAATTGCTTTGCTAAAGATCGAACTTAGGTGAGTATCCCTCGAGGTTTCGATCCTTGAGTCATCAAACACGTTCTTATTCCATGTTAGTGGATATACGTAATACAATGTCTACAAAAGAAATCGTAAGCTTTTAATTTTTCATGATCGAAATATCTTTCTCGTTGTGAAATCACAAGGATGCTTCATCAGAGAACATGGCCACTGAAGAAGTGCAATCACTAATCATGAAGGCAGACCATTCTTTGTTTTGAAGGGAGATTAAAAATTTGACGTTTAGAGTGTTCGAAAAGAACAATACAGAGTGTTCCTCGTGTTCGTTTGAATTCGGTGAAGGACTGAAGGTTACAAAAGAATGGTGTTCCTTTGTTCGATCGGTTACTCAACGGATTCGAAGAGATTGAAGTCGTTGAAAAAAAATGTTTATTGAAATGTCCAGATGGTGCTTAGACATCGATCATATAAATACGTAATGTGCAAGTTAGACATTGTAATTCGCAATCTTCATGCCTCAACTTGAGGAGGCATTACCAGATTGACAAAATATTAACATGATTGATGAAGAAAAGCTCCTTGTAGTTGAACAAACAAAATATATTGAATATTTATTCTATTACTCCTGTCCAAGAATTTTTTTCCTAATTTAACCAAAGCTCATTTTTAAGGGAGTGTATATTTTGTATTGACTTTCTAAAAATACGACAAACTCTTCTACTCCACCTACTAACCTGAAGCATCACCATCCATTTAGGGAAGGATGGACTCAGGGGCTGTTTGTTTCAGCCTCTTAATGGTTCAGATGTCTGAATGATTCAGCACTTAATGGTTCAGACTGTTTGTTTCAGCCTCTTAATGGTTCAAATGTCTGAATGGTTAAGAGATTTGCCTCTAAATGGTTAAGTATTATACAGAGTCTGAATGGTTAAGAGCTCTTATCTGAATTGATCAGACATTTGCCTCTGAATAGTTAAGCAATATACTAGCTCTTAATGGTTCAGACCTCTTACTGGTTCAGCACTTAATGATTCAGACCTCTTACTGGTTCAGCACTTACCCATTCAGAAGTTGCCAAACAGCCCCTAAGTGCAGTTTAAGGTAGGAGCCCACGACGGACAAATGAAATCAAAATATATAAAGAAAGTGAAATATTAAAACTATGTTTGGTTCGTAAAATTTGAAAGAAGAAAAACAAAAATCCTTCCCTAATTTTCTCGCCTCTAAAGAAGAGAGATTGTAGTTTGTTGCTGTGTTAATCGTCGCTCATCCGGCCTCTGCAAATTATTGAATACGTACTTCGTAATTTGGAATTATTGGTTACGTTCCCATCATTCTAAATACACGGACTGAATGAAGAAATTACTGACACTAAAAACTAATTAGGTGTTATTTTCCGCCCTAAAATCATCTTTACCATGCGTCTTCCCCTTTCAAAAATCAAAATAAATAATCGCTCATTTCAACTAAATACTACTGAGTAACACTTACCAAACGTGCACCGCGTTTATGTACAAATCCAATGCGACTGCCAGAAACAAATCAAAACGCATTGATGCATGAAGTCGACGTATAAAACCTTGCTGCTTAATGAAGAAAGAATCTTCACATCATATAGCGTGGGCCATGACTTGCCAAGTCTGAAACTTCACTGCCTTCTTCACTTCTAATCTGTAGAAGAACAGGACAAGTAATTGGTTTCCCTCTCTTGGAAAATATCAAATACTAACAGTGGTCCAAACTATGATCCACAGGAGAAGAACACGAATGAAGCTGGAATCAAAAGAAATGTACTTGCAGTGGTCCAAACTATGATGCTCCATTTGACATAGCTTTGGTTGCAGGAGAGAGGTGTTCCACAGTTGTTCTGCTGGATGTGTTGGTGCAGCAGTTATCCTCATCCTGCTCTTTGTTGGGGCCAAACTCAAGCTGCTTTTCCACAGACTTGATCACAGATGTCCGTTTGGATCTTATTATTCGGTAAGGAGGAGATCCGTTGAAAGGTTTTGGATTGTTTCTTAGTTGGATTTCATCTCCTAATCCACCAGTAGCACCGTCATCGCCAGCCTTCCCGAGTGGCGTGGATGACTGGGACCCACTCTTCCTCTTTCTTAAAATAGATGGGGTATTCCGGAAGCTCTGGGCAGCAATTTTCAATATGGACTCTGGGGTCTGCAGACATAAACTTCTATGCTTCTCACTGGGTGGGGTTGGAAAAGGATTGAGGAAATCGGAATCCAGTGGAATGATACTTTCTAACCGTGGGGGTTCATAGCATAAGTTACCATATGTAACGTGTGTAATAGAACTAAAAACTTGGGGTCTAATTAGTTTTGGTGTGGAATTTGATTTGGCCTCGCATGGCCGTACATCTTCAGAATCAGCAGAATCAATTTGAGGACTACTGGTTGAAGCAGCCATTTCCTCTGCGGTTGTGCGTTCTGCACGGACCTGTTCTGTATCTACTACTGTTTTACAAACATCTGTGGTTCCTGATGAAGCTGCTAGCTCCGTTGAATCAGATGGCTTGCTCAAACAACATTCAAAGCCCTTTTCTCTCAAACTGGTTTTGATGTCTTCATCTTTACAAGTGTTCTGGAGGTCATTCTTGGAAGGAGGTGGTAGGTTTCCTGTGGCCAAGTAGAAATCTAACTTTTTCTTCAAAGAGCTATTCCAGTGGTTCTTGATAGCATTGTCAGTCCTGCATGGATACAAATCTTTAGTGTGGATTTCTTGGGACTTCAAAATATTCTTATAAATAGCTATATTTAAATGTGGATTAACGCATACCCAAGGGGTCTGAAGGGAAAAAAATCATTTGAAGATGTTATTTGGTGACTGATCAATTTTTCATTCATCAATGAATCAATATTTATTAACTTTATAGAAAAATTCAATATAATATGTACGATGTATGTGGTTAAAAAAATCAAAAGACACCAATCAAAGTTTTACTTGAAACTAAATAACTCTTTTTTTGGGTGAAATTTAATGCATTTGAAATTAAGTTCATGTAGATAGATAAATAAAGGTTGAAGAAATGACCTCCAAGTAAGGACTGGAGAAATTACTCTCGTATTATATAAGCGAACTTATTGATTTATAGAACATTCACCTACTAAGTTTTAGTTGCAAATTGATTTCAAACGGCGATAGAGAGAACTGAGTAGGTGAAAGCAACTAGGAGTTGGAAGGAGCTGGAAGGAGTTGGAGTTGGAAAAGGTGGAAGTTAATTTTTCCAACACAAGAACAAGGCCTAAGAATCAGTTTATTATGAAGGAATGAGTTAATTTATATTTATCTCATCCAAAAAAGAAGAAATGTTTGGATCAAGAATTGCAGATGGATTCTAACAGTTTGATGTCAAAATTGCCAGCATGGATTCAAAAGCCTCTACTCTAGTGATAATAGCAGCAACTATTCTTTTCCTCATTTTAAAAAAACTCCAATTGTATGCAACAGATTACCTTCCAGCTAAGACCTTTGCTATTTCAGCCCATTTATTCCCATGGACTCGATGTGCATTTATAAGAGCTAGCTCCTCCTCTAATGTCCACGCCTCTTTCTTTATACTTGGATTCAAATGATTGTGCCACCTGAATAAAATACATAGCAAAATATATATTATTAAAAATAAACTGAGAAAGTTACGAGGCTTTTGAAGTTTGAACTGGCAAGACCGTATGTTAAAGGTAATTGATAAATATAATCAATCGAGGATAACTTTTACAAGAAATATGTAATTAAGAAATTAAATTACCTTTCACGGCATTGCTTTCCTATTCGACCAGGCAATGACTTGGCAATGAGAGACCACTTTGCAGGCCCATACTTCCCTACAAGTTCAACGATCTTTTCATCTTCCTGGAATGGAAACATGTCTATTATTTGCAGCTCTGACAAATCATTTAAAGAAGTTCCTTAATTCATTTATATAGGAATATAAATATCAATGCACGAATGAAGAAAAGCTTGGAACCAACCTCCTGAGTCCATGGCCCTTTTATAAGATCGGGATTTAGAACCTTCTGCCATCGATGTAGGCATTGTACTTCTGATCTATCAGGAAAAAATTCAGCTGCAAGCAAATCCCTTTATCAGGTTACGCTCTTATATCACCAGACACAATGATTTCCACATACATATTAGAAATTTTTGGGAGTTCAATAAACTACTTAGGAGAAAAGAGTACCAATTTTCTTCCAACACTTCCCCCGGTAAGCTGCAACAGCTTGCTTTAGTGTATCGTCCTGTGGATATAATTTTTGTTTATAGCCTCAATACAGTATATTTATACACTTGAGGGAAAATCTATCAGCATGCTTTAATAAAGGGTTCACTTTCAAACTGAATTCAGATTATGAAAGCATCATATGATCATTAAAAAACAACTACTTACCTCCTCAGGCGTCCAGCCACCCTTTGCTCGTCTAATAGGGCCACTTGTTCTCCTGCAAAAGTAGATCTCACATTATGAAAATTATATCATTAAACATTTAGTGCAAAGCAAATCTAGGAATTTTGATTGAAAGAAATACAAGAATACATTGATTTCACATTCATGTGCTACTCTCTAAACTAGAAATAAGTTACTCACTTACTCCCTCTGTCCCATGAAAAGAGTCAATTTTGACATGCTTTTATCCCAAAAAAAGTCCTATTTAATGAAAACAAGCTAACAATCATGTTTTATAATGATTGTACCTTACTCAAATTTTTAAAGTTGTACCTTGATAAAAGGGGACTATTTTTATTGGTTAAAGTGAGTATATAGGATGATTGTTGAACTGCTCATATCATGAATTGCTCAAATCACATAAATAACTAGCATACAGGAGCATGGAAAACAATATTGAACCTCCTCTGCATGTAGATTATTAAAAAAGAGGGAGGAACGGCATGTGTGTGCAGTGAGAATACTTCATCCATGACAAGTAGCACAACTTTTCTAACATTTTTACATCGCTTTTCAATACGCATAAAACACAAAAAAAATATAATTTTTTAGGTTTTGTAAGGTTTATATATTGATGATCACACATTATTATCGTAAGATCATCCTTCTATTTCAGATTATCTCCGAAACTTTTCTCAAAACAATGAAGTGTTGTGTGCCAAGAACATACGGATAGACTTCAGTAAGAAGAAAAAAAACTGAATGGATAACAACTGTACCGCTGCACGGGCGAAGAAGGGGTGGTGCTAGGTATTCCCGGCGACTTAAGATTAACACTGCCGCTGTTCTCGGAAATGGAAGAGCTCGATGCAGCTATCGATTGCTTATTCTCATGGAAACAATCATCTGCTTTCTCTTCACCCATATTGTGCTCCCCTTGGCTTCCGAATCGCAATATTACAATCAACAAAGGCAACAAACTTCAGCAGGCCAATTCTTCTATAACAACGAACCCCCAAAAATCACCAAAGCATCAAAACCCTAATTACAAGCAAGGTACACCAAATCAATTGCGTTTCTGACGGATCAAGCGAAACTCAGATCTCAGAAACTGGTATCAGATCAAAGACAAATTCAACCAGACCAAAACCACACACAAACCAATCACGAGCCCCAAACTATTGACGAAAATATCCCCGCAGGCAATTCAAACTAATCAAATCAATATATTCAAACAAACCGAAACCTTTATTAACTGGACAGACTCAGCTAGATAATACAGTACTTCCTGTAAATCAGACGGAGCCATGAAATTCAAGAACAATTTTTTAAAGAATTCGATGACGGGGCAACCTCAGGCGAAAGAATATTGGCGGGAATCGAGCTGGAACTCACCGGAACCCTGAGAAACCTCTAGAGAGAGAGACCGCCGGAAAGATTGAGCTTCCGTTGAGGAGAGGAAAAAAAGAAAGAAAACCTTTGCCCGTTGAACGAAAGAGAGAGTAAATAAATCCTTCGATTGAAAAGGGTTTGCTGTTTTATTTTTGTATATAACGAATAGATATTGAGGTCACCGACGGTGCCGTTCGGTGCGCCGTTGGAGCTTTGGGGTTTTTGGATGGGCAAGGGATTGACGTCTCTGTAACGGCAGCTGACGGATTCTCGTGTACGTTACGAGACAAAAGTTTGAACCTCAAACGGCTCATGCGTCGTCGTCTTATAAATGGGATTGAGATTTTCTTTACAAGGCCCATATTTACTCTGACCCGCGGCCAAAATTGTTCCCAACTCCTGCCTTCATTAGGATTCTTTTAAATCTACATACATTAATACTTTTATAATGTGTATGTCCTAAGCCTATGCAAAATAATAAATTTCATACATAAATTTAATACGTGAAAAATAATAAAATTATTATTGTTTATTTTTTAAATGTCCATATGTCGGATGTATATTAAAAACCACATCTGTTACATAAAAATTCTCTATAAGACTTTTATTAAAAAGAGATTAAAAAGTAAAAAAAAACTATTTTTATATTCGTGTGAACATGAAACTTTTTGAAATAAATACAATGACCCCGAATTACAATCTTCTCATGTTCTCTTCTCTGATTCAACGTTCTAGGTTTCATCGCTAAAAAACTTAATTTAAGTTCTTTTTAATTATTACTTAGAACTTTGTTTTTTATCATTAGAATTCTTATAGTTAATATATACTCTGTAAAAGAAATGTCACTAGATAGAAGTAAAAAATTTGAAAAAATACTAAAATAAGAGTATTATGTCTTTTAAAACTAAAATATGAGTATACAGACAGTGTGGTGTAAGAATATGCATTTGTGGTGCGATGAAAAACTGCTAACGATTTAATATGTCAGTGTTATTAGTCAACCGTCGATGATCTGCAACGGCACTCCGGTGGCCGACAGCGCCCAATGGCAGTGTGATGTTGATAATGTCACATTTACAATGTGTCAATGTGGTGAGTGTGACTGTTACCTATGGTGATGTGAACTCCTCTTTTGGTCTTCAAAAATTTATGACTCATATTTTGATATTTTCATAGTTTTTTACTCCTATCTAGACAGTTCTCCATATTCCATTTTGTAATCATTACTCCGTTAGTAATTGCATATTTTTTTATAATTAGATAAAGAAATATAAATCATGTTAATTTCAAATGTAAAATTAACATGGTTAGCATCGGGTCATTTTTGTAATTACTCCTTCTATCTTAAAATGATTTTCTTAATCACTATTTATATAGTCAAAGTTTAATCAATTTATTTCCCTAGTTTCTTTAATTATTTGATAAAATCATATAGTCATGTCACACCTTCTTTTGCAGAACTTTTGATGTAATTTTAAAATATATAATTTATATTTTTCAATTTTTTACCTAGACTCAAATGAATTAAATTGAAAATATTTTCAGTCAAATATCGTAAACTCAATTTGGAAGATCATTTTAGGACGGAATAGTATTTTGATATATACAATGTGATGTAAGATTATTTTTGTTTTGTCGAGATATCTTTATATTTTCTAAGTACAGTTTTTTCAATTAAGATTGGTAAAAAGTATTGTTTCATTTGTCTTATTGTTTTTGTTAATGGAGTAGTGGCATACAATTAAAAAACAAAAAATTATATAATTGATATTGATTTTGAAAAGTAAAGAAAGGGCATGAGTCACAAAAAATTACAAATACAATTTGGGATAAAATATAATGGCATAAAAGAAAACAAAAAGAGATTGAAAATTTAAAAAGTAGAGTATATTTTTTTAAATAAAATATGAAATTTATAAAATAAAATAATTATTTGAACATTTTTTGTCTTTTAAACTCTTTCAAAAACTTTCCAACGATTTCCCGTCTTTTCCAACCCCTTCCACATTTCCACTTTCTCTCAACTCATTCCAGTTTTTTCTAACATTTTCCAGTTTTTTTCAATTTCTTCTCGTTTCTTCCAACACCTTCGAGTTCCTTCCAGTTTCTTTCAGTTTTTCCCACTCCTTCCAATTTCTTCTAACTTTTTCTAGTAGTTTCTTTCAACACCCAACTATGTTTTTCCAAGCGAAAAAGAATAGAGCCTAGGTAGAGATGAGCAAAAGGACCAAACTAGTTAGATCGGATCGGTCCCTTAAAAAGACTGATACTATTAAGGACGAGATCGGTCCAATCTCTTTTAAAAACTAGTCCAGACTAGTTTGGTATTCATGAAAAAAATAAGGACCTTTTGAGACCAGGTAGTCCCGTTAGGATCGGTCCAAGTCCGGTCAGATCCTTTATATGTAAAATTCTTACATTTTTGTCCTTCAAAAAAATACTGGTACAAAATAAAAAAAATTTGATCATTTATTTTCCTTTTTTCTATACCTTACTGATTTATAATAATTATGCAACATGAGTACTATTATGTGAGATGAAAGTTGGATAGAATTAACAAAAAAAATAAATTTTTTTGATAGGGGAAATTTCACTAATGAGACCTAACTTTGAAGATTATTTTATTTTGATACTTAAACTTCATTCATGTTCTTTCGTAAAAGACCTGAACTTTGAAGAATTTTTTTTATCAATGATACCTCAATTCAGTTTCTAGGAGTCTAGCAATTATAATTAGTATTCTTATTGTTCCAATTTAAATCGTCTGTTTCGTTTTAAGATGTTTGACCAAAGTTATTTTCTTTGTAATTTATTAGATATTTAGAGTGGAATTAAAAAATAAATTTTGCATATTAAAAACTTACATCAAAGTTAAAACTCTACGGAATAAGAGGCGACATAACTATTATTTTGTAAAATAATTGACAAAAATAGGGAAAAAATGTAAATAATAAATATACAACTTAATTTGGGGCGTAGTGAGTTTTTTTTTACTACATTTTGACCTCATTTCCACTTCTCACATCACCTCTCTTCTTTCTTCTTTTTTAGCCCTCTTTCTATTTTTCACATTGCTTGTTTGGGTTTCACTTTTATCAATTTTGTATTACTCCATCCGTCCTATATTGATCTTATCGCTTTGACTATAGTTCATTTTTAAGGGATTAAATTTTTTCACTGACTTCCAATTATACCCTTCCTTTAAAAAAATTGGAGTGCAAAGGCGTTGTGTTCGTTTCTCCGTGGCATTCTTGAATCGGCGGCGAAGTCGTGTTGTGATTGGACTCTGTGTAATTGTTCGTCTGGTAAGATTCCTCGCCGGAGTGGGCGGTTCTAAACCGGAGAACAGACGTCGGAGACGAAACGTTGCGGGACTCGTCGCCGGAATCGTAGCCTGAAACAGAAGCGTCGTTCCCCTGCTTCGCCGGCGGGACTCCAAAATTGGTCAGCGCATCCGGCCCACGAAGCTTAATAGAGGCATTGTCGTAGACCGTCGTGGCTTCCTCAGCCGTATCATATGTTCCCAACCAAACTCTGACCCGTCGGGTCGGGTCGGGTCCCGGATCTCAGCAGGCCATACGCCCCAGAACTTTCTGACACCGCCGGAGACACCCGACGGGCCAAGAACATATTTGAACATATTTCCCCTTCCCCCCCTTCCGGAACCGGCTCCGACGGCCTCTTCCTACCGTTCCTCGCAACACCCTTGTCAGCGGCGGAACCTGAGATTCAAAATGTAATTCCACAGAATCCAGAGAGAAGTGTAATTCACAGAGACATGAAGAGAGGGCAAGGATGAGAGACGCAAGAGAAGCGAGAGATAAATCTAGGTTTAGTTTGAGAGGAGGCGGAGAAGTGTAAGAACGGAGGAGAGGAAGGGATAAGGTCAGAATGAGAGAAAGGAGAAGTGGGCGGTGAAGATAAGGCATGCGTAAATGGGGTGGGTGGAGTAATAAATATTTTAACCTTTTAGGGGTATTATAGTCATTACATGTGCATTTAAAGTGTGTGGGAAGATGATTTTAGGACGGAGGGAGTACTTAAACTTGAGTGTCTTTTTATATTTCTTTTCATTTTTTTCTATTTTTTATGCGCACTTTTGTTTATTTCTCATTTTCCTTGTTTTTGGTTTACCTTTTTTTTCGTTTTGTTTGCTAGTACGCTTAATGCAGAGTATAACTCTTTTCTTTTATTTATCGTTATTATTTATTTTTCTTTTACAATGTTTGTGTTAAATTTATGCTTTTATCACTCCTTTTCTTTTTCTCTAGTTTTTTAATTTTAATTTTCTCATTTCATTGTTTGTTTTTTGTTTTCATTGCATAGGTGTAGATATATGGTCCCTCTGTCCTGAAATTATCTTCCTTATTTAATACTCCGGGGTATATCAAAATCACGGCAACCTTTACTTATTTTTATATTTTAATTTAATATTTGATAAAATAAAATATTCTTATCATAATTTATTTCGTAAAACTTTTATATAGTTTTTAAATACATAGGATTTTTTTAAAATGAATTGAAAATTTTATGAGATGGAAGAGTTTTTTTAATGTGGTGTTTTTTGTTTTTGTTTTTCCTTTTTTGATTTATTGTTCTCAATTTATTCACTTTTTTCATTGTTTTAAATAAATTTTTTCACTTTTTTTGTTGTTTACATAATTTTTAAATATATAAATTTTATTTTTTATTATCTAATCAGTTTTTAAATAAAATCAATTTATAAGTAAATAATTTTTTTTGAAAAATTCTTCAATAATACTGATATATTTTTTTTGAGAAAGAATGAAATTTAAATGCTAAAATAATAATCTCTCCGTCCCATTTTAAATTGTGTATTTTCTTTTTTTCTTTGTCCAAAAAAAGTTGCTTATTTCTTATTATAATAAACTTTTAAAGATAAAATACATAAACTATCCTTAAAATAAGTTATTCCTCTCCACTTTGTTTCTCATTCATCGCTAGGGATGTAAACGGATATTAATCGGATCGGATGTGCTATTACCAAATCTGTATCCGTTTATTTTTGTCAGATATCAAATTCGGATACGGATCTTGACGGATACTAAAAATCAAAATTGTGTCCGCATTCGTTGGATATCGGTCGGATATCGGATATATCCGTATCCGTTTCCAATTTTTAAAATCAAATTAAACAATACTTTAATTTTAAATTAGATAAAAGCCAAACTATAATTAAATCAACTATAATTTGTTATGTGATAATTATTTTCTTTCTTTTCATGATTTATGATATTTTACACAACACGCATATACACATATTTTTATATGTTGCACACACACACACACATATATATGTCTACACATTTATTTTGTATATAAAAATGTTTTGTACTTGTAAATATCAATAGAGAAACAAAATATAAACATAAAAATTAGGAAAAACTATATATATCGGATCGTATGCTCGGATAAACGGTTATTTAAACGGATGCATATTCGGATCAGATTTTAAACGGATCGGATATACAATTACCAAATCCGTATCTGTTTAGTACTAGGATATTCTTAATCGGATATGGATAATATTCGTTTAAAACGGATGCAGATATTTCCTCTTTAAAGGAATACGGATGCGGATGGTAATCGGATTTTCGGCTATCCGTTGACAACCCTATTCATCGCTATCCTCCTAAAAAGGTAAGGGCATTTTTGAAACATCAACTATATTTTTTCACTTCCTTAAATATGCAAGAAAACACCCTAAATAAGAGTAAAACATGTGTTATATCTTCAAAGTAGGAGTTCAAACTTAAAATCCATTAGATAGGAGTAATTATTACATTTCAATTCAATATCACATCCCCTCCACTTCCTCATCAGTAAAATACTAGAGCCATCATGGCACCGCCGCCCCCTTTGGCCATTACGGTCGCTTCCTTCCGCCATCACTCCATTTCATCTTGTTGCTTTACTTTTTCAATACATTTGCATATTTCCTTTTGCCATCACTCCATTTCATTTTGTTGCTCTACTTTTTCGATACATTTGCATCTCTTTTGGTTTATTCACGAGATTTTTTTATGTTTTGTATTTAGATCGAATGATTTTTATTTGATCTATGATTAGATTTGTTGGGTTGGTAAGTTTTCGTTGGAATTTTTTGTGTGTTGAGTGTATTCTTAATGTAAAATTAATTTTTTTGGGATTTCCATGTTGATTTTGCTAAACTTTTTCCCCATGTTTTCATTGCATATCTTTATTTGGATTTCTTGTGTGTACTCTTTGTGCATATTTTGGCTATAATGTTAGCAGATCAAAAAATCCAAAAATATATACTTTTGAGATTATCGCGCTTTTCTAGTTTTTTTAGATGCAGATAGATAGAAAATCTTGTTTGTGTGATTAGGGATATTGAAATAAAAAATTATTTGGCACAGTTGGTTTAGAACATGGGAGTTTGAATTGAATGATGTCTTTGGTAGAGTATATAGTTTCTTGGCATTTCTCTTTTTAACATTCTGTATTATCATTTGTTACATTATATGATAACATGTTTGTCATTATACATTGTCATATATGACGTTATGCATTGCCATGTTTGATTGTTTGGCATTATGCCTTTGATTGACATTATACACTTTTGTGACTTAATACATTAACATGATTTTCATTTGATATTATACATTCACATATATGCATGACTTAATACATTAGCATGATTGTCATTATGCAATTTTGTGTGGCAGTTTATGTTGTCATCTTTGACATCATGTCCTTTATTAACACTATGGATAGTTAATGTGGCATTGTGGTAGAGAAAGCCGTCTAGCCATGAGTAGAATTTCCCGTTAATCCTCCGCCAGCCACCGTCACCTTGCTTGCGAATGGCCGCCATCAACGAAGATATAGAAAACGCAAGATATAGGAAATATAGAGGTACTGGTGTTAATCACAATTATGAATGCAATCCGTTTGATTTAAGAACTAAATTCTAAACACTATTAAAAATAAACTAAATAAAATAGTATATACGTGAACTTATTTTGGAATTTTATCAATGTTTTACTCCTATATTGCTCATTTATCCTAAATATACCCCAATTTTAAAACCAGATAATATAAAATATGAGACAGAGAAAGTATATTGTTGAAATTTACAACCGCAAGTAGGGGTGGACACGGTACGGTTCCGGAACGGTTCCGGTACCGCCACCCCTTGGTACCGGTACCGGTACCAGATCGGCGGTTCCGGTTCCGGTACCGTTTCGGCCACCCATAATTTCTTTTTTTTTTTGCTTTTTTATTAAATTTTTAAAGTGTAGAATTGTAAATGTGTAATTGTTAAAAGAAAGGATGAAATAAAAAAACTCTAAAAATGAAATTAATAAAGGAAAGAATGAAATAAAAAATAAAAATAAAAAAAATTAATTACAGTCACGGAACCGGTACCGCCGGTGCCGGTACCGAAAAATGGGCACCGGAACCGGTACCGGAGTGGGCGGTACCGGTACCGGTTCCCGGAACCGGTGGACCGTCCCGGCCGACGGTAACGGTACCGGTACCGGCGGTACCGTTTTCGGTCACGGTACGGTACGGTACCGCTACCGTGTCCGCCCCTAACCGAAGACTTGAGGAAAGTCAGGAAACACCCAAAGGATAAGATTGTATGTAGAGAACCAATGGCTTGTACAAACGTCTTTTTACTTCTTCATTTCTACCCCACCCAAACACCAACCAACCACATGGATCCAACCCAAATGGGAATTCAGTCGCAGATCATCATCCACTTCACATTATTACTAACAAATACAGAAATTCTACACAAACTTCGTTACAGCCTTATTAAAACGATGATACATAACCACACACAGACAGAATACAAAGTTCGATCAGCTCCGCACCGGTCTCATTTGCAATTGCAGGGGTTGCACTTGCAGTCGTCGCCGCATTTGCAGCCCTCCCCGGCCGCCGTTCCCTCCGCCCCGCTGAAACAAACAATTAAGTATACATGTTCAGATCTATACATACAAAGCTACGATCTTTTAAGATCATCTACCCATCTAATAATTGAAGAGGAAATTAAAGATGGGTACAATTTCTGGGTGGGCGCAACGCCGAGAACCAGAGCCCCTGTTTTGGGCGAAGCCTCGATCAAATCTGGGTACATCTTGCACCTGCATTTTAAATTCAAAAGATTTGTTCTTTATTTTTCTTTTCTTAAATTGAAATCCCAAGAAAGAGTTCTATACAGAATAAACGAGAGAGATATATGGATATGGGAAGCTTGCCCGGAGCAGCCCCCGCCGCAGGAGCAGCCAGACCCGCATCCGCACTTTCCTCCGCAGCAAGACGACATTTTTTGCGTTGAATTATTGAACTTGATTTTTATGATCAGAAAGGAGAGATGGGAATTGGGAGGAGATTTGATTGGATGGAAGGGGAGGCACCCGTAGCTATGGTTATATAGCGGGGGAGAAGAGGACTGCCCGGCACACATCCACCGTCCGCGTGTCTAAACCTGGAATCTTTGGGGCCCGCTTGCGCCGCTTCACTTTGCGTCCGCTCCTTTTTGTGTGGTTGCGTACCTGCCCAAGTAATACTCTATCATATTCCCTCCCTCCCAAATTATTTGCAATGCTTGATTTCTCAGCAGTCGCGAAAACTTTTATTTATTTTTTTACGTTTTCATTACTTATTTGATCAAATAAAATATTCTTGACACATCTTATTTCGAAGAACTTTTCAAGTAGTTTTTTGATATGTAAATTTTATTTTTTATTTCTATACCACTATGTAAATAAAATGAATTGAAAAACCTTTATATTTTGCCTCGGGAATACAAGTGTGACAAATATTTTGGGACGGAGGGAGTATAACTTAATACTTCTTTCTTTAAATATTTGTCACACTTGTATTCTCAGGCAAAATATCAAGTTTTTTCAATTTAATTTATTTACATATTGCTATATAAATAAAAAAATAAAATTTACATATCAAAAAATTACATGAAAAATTCTTTCGAAATAAGACGTGTCAAGAATATTTTATTTTATCAAATAACCAATGAAACCGTAGAAATAAACAAAAGTCCTCGTGACTGCTGAAAAAGCAGGTGTTGCAAATATTTAGGGACGGAGGAAGTAATAAAATAAGAGTTTTATATTTTTTAAAATAAGAATTAAAATATATTAATATTTCCAACAATGATCATGTACATTACCAAAAGGTATAGTAAAAATGCTCATGTACAATGTCGCATTACCATAGTGTGAACTCCTATATAAAGGAAAAAACAGGGAACTTCTATTTTGATACTCCCTCCGTCCGGGAATGATGTTCCCATTGTACGTTTTTTTTCGTCCGGAAATGATGTTCTCATTCTACTATTTTATGTCTAATCTCCCTAAATTACCCTTTCTTCCAATTCTTTTCTTCCTTTTCTTTCTTTCTTTTTTTTCTTCTCTTTCCTTCTTTTTTTCTACGCCACTCCTTTCCTTATCTCTTCAATTTTTTTCTTTTTCTTCTCTCCTCTTTCTCCTCCATCTTTGCAGATCCTCTCTTCAATCTTCTTCTTCTTCCTCTAATCCTCTCTATAGTCTTTCTTTCTACTCCATCTTTTTTCTTTATCTTCCCCTTCTTCTTTCTCCTCCATCTTTCTTCTAGATCTACGCATACGCATGGGGGCAGTTGTGGCGGCAGCGATGGTGGCGTCCGGTGATGGCGATGGCGAGTCTGCACTGCTTCCTCTCTTTCTTCTTTTCTTTCTCCTTATTTTTTCTTTTAGATCTATACCACAATTGCGCCGAAGGTGGAGCTGCGCGCCGATGGTAGTGTCCCGACAGTGACGGGGCTGCGGCGGCGATGGTGGTCGATTAGATCTGCAGTAGATATGTGTCTTTTTCTTCTTCTCCTCCTTGTCATCTTTCTTCCCCTTCTTTCTCTCTTTTCTGTTTCTCCCATATATGGTCTTGGTGGAAGCTATGGGTGATGGTCGGACTGGTGGTGACGGCAGCTGAGGTGATGGTCGCCGTTTGGGCTGGCGGAGATAACGATGCCGACAGGACTGGTGGGGGTAGCGGTGGGGTGAGATTGGCGGCGGTTGAGATTTGGGCCGGTAGTGGGTGCTGTTTCGTGGCTAGGGATGGGTGAAAATGTGCAAGGGTATTTTAGTCTATTCACTCCCTTAGTCAATGCTTTTTAAAAATGAGGAAAATTCAAAGTGGGAACATCATTCCCGGACAGAGGGAGTATTAATAAGGTAATTTTATACCTTATAATTTTGGTGCCATGTATAATAAAAAAGATTAAATGTGAAAGAATAATCATAATAGCATGATAATAATATGATATCGTATAATAATAATCATAAGAATAAATGTAATAATAATAATAAAGTTAAATTAATTTTGTGCTCCTACTTTTTTCCACTATGCAACACCACAAGAAAAAAAATCGGATTGAACAAATGACAAAGTGATATTCGTGTACGTGCGCCGCGGAATAATGTGAGTGGTTCAGAAGCAAAGATCGACGTATACTCGTAAATAATTGAGAACCATTATGGGAGGATATATCCTACTCCATCCTCTCTACTCAAAAAACGACAAAAAAGAATATCACATGTAAGAGTGCATTCAAAAGAAAAATATTCTGTAATTGGTATATAAGCTTTTGGATTGAGCTAAGTAATTAATTGGATTCAATCTTTTAATGTGATTTAGTCAAATGCCTTAGAGCCCAATCCCGTGATTCTTATTACCTCATCCCTAAATTGTATCATGGTATCAGAAAAGGTTTTGGCTCACCTCGTTTGCCAAGGTGTCTGTCTAGATCAGAGGTTCATTTCTAGCGGCTCGTTAGTCTTTAGCCGCGTTGTGCGTATGAAGTGTGTGTCCAATGGCATGTGGCTCGTTTAACACGATTGCTCGTCTGGAAATCCATAGTGGTCCTTTATGTGGCACTTGGCACTAAAAAAATCAAGGGAATTGAAGTTTATTTGCAAGTGGTCAATCAGTTAAATTCAAAATGACCGGTTGTCCACTTGAGGGGGATTGTTAGAGTGCATCCCATATTAGAAATTCAAGAGTAAAATAATCAGTATATAAGCTCTTGAGTTGAACTAACTAAACGATCGAATTCAATCTTTTAATGTGATTCAGCCCAAGTGTCTTATGGCCCCATCTATTGATCCCTATCTCATTTTAAATTCTATCAGTTATAAATTAGAGGTAGTCACAGTCAATGATAGTTCAGTATTTTAAAATAACTTGTACGAGTTTAATGCACCGTTCCCCCCTGTGATTTCCTAAATGTTCACCGGTGCCCCCTCTGCTTCTAAAACTTACTCCATCCCCCCCACTAATTCTAAAATCCTACTCCATTGCCCCCTCCGTTTCTAAATCCGTAAATTTTAACGGAGCGTGAAGGAAACGCATTTGATATGCGTTTGGTAGAGTATTTTCTCAGCTTTATTGCACCATTCCCCCCTGTGGTTTGCTAAATGTTCACAGGTGCCCCTCTGGTTCAAAAAATTACTCCATGTACGTGAAAATTTGAGTGTGCACCATCTGTCATCTTTTTAAAAAAGCCAACCATATTTAAAATGAAAAAATCATAAAGAANGTGCCCCTCTGGTTCAAAAAATTACTCCATCAGAAAACCACGACTCATTCAATGTGGCTTTTTTCTGGTTGACATGTTTCTTTTTTGGTGGATGCAACAATTGATATTCTCTCATCTTCATTTCCACTAATTTAGCCTTATTACTCTTCTTAGTTGGCACCTCAACGAGCCAGCAAACACACGCATCACAAGATTCTACACTTATCAATGAGGTATGTGAACACGTTGTCAATGAAGCTAAATATATTCTCTTTAAGGTAAACTTACGATATACATTTTTGTAGGTGCAGACAACAGTTGTATATCCTTCACATACATCTATGAAATGCATGCATATTTTGCAACCTGTGAGCAAACCACCCAAAACTACAAAAAGAGTTGCACCACTAAATGCTAAAAAAGGCTCTGCATCAACGAGCAGAGGTAAGATTTACAATAGTTCCAGGAGCAATGCATTGACTACTTGTCTCCCTAGTACACATCCAGGCCGAGAGCATCCATCAACAAATCCAAGAGCTTCCACTTCAACAACTCTAGACTCAAAGTGAATATAAATCAGAATGCTGAATTTGTAGCTTTAAACTTTGTTTTGCTAGTATTTTTAAGTATCTTGATACTATGTGTTTTGGGAAGTTTTGAAGTAGCTTTTTGTGGTCCACTATCTATAATGTGAGAACCTTAGCTTTGACCGATTGTGGTTGGTGACTATTTGATAATGGTCTTTTGCTTATCAATACTCTAGCATTTGGTTTAATGTTTTAACATTTAATGACATTTTGTCTAGAAAATGTTCTTGATATATACATAATGGAAGCTTTTTCATTTACATATTGTAGCAACATCGTCAAATTAGTTGACCATTTGATTTTATGATATTTTTGATTTACGGAATGGAGATTCTTTATGATTTTTTCATTTTAAATATGGTTGGCTTTTTTAAAAAGATGACAGATGGTGCACACTCAAATTTTCACGTACATGGAGTAATTTTTTGAACCAGAGGGGCACCTGTGAACATTTAGCAAACCACAGGGGGGAATGGTGCAATAAAGCTGAGAAAATACTCTACCAAACGCATATCAAATGTGTTTCCTTCACGCTCCGTTAAAATTTACGGATTTAGAAACGGAGGGGGCAATGGAGTAGGATTTTAGAATTAGTGGGGGGGATGGAGTAAGTTTTAGAAGCAGAGGGGGCACCGGTGAACATTTAGGAAATCACAGGGGGGAACGGTGCATTAAACTCTAACTTGTACCATATCGTTACTTTTCAAATAGTTTGGTATAATTACGGTTTTACGCCTTACCCATTTGGTACCATGTTGCTCGGTAACGGGATGGTATAATACTATACCAATGTCAAACCATTCCATAATACTCCAACGTTTTAAGAATATTTTTATTCATAAGAAAATAATCGACATAAATAAAAAAAATTGGCACACCAATTCTTTATATATTCTTAGTCAAGAGATATTTTGTATAGTTACAATTTTTGACAAAATGTAATTTTAATAATTTGATTTTTTGACAAATAAAATTATAATTTGAGTTGTATTTTAAAATAATAACAAATGAAAATTTATTATTAATTTCATATTTTAGTGATAACAGTCCAGTTCGGTATTTTCAATATTTAATTTTTGGGAACATGTCCAGTACCATTTTAAAAATGATTCAATTCGAGATATAATTTACTAGAACCATTTGAAAAACTATTTTTTGGTTCGGCACAATGTCGGCCCGGTACGGAACAATATCGGGCCGATACTTTTGCCCACCCCTATTATAAGTAACGTTTGAAGTTATTTCAATTTATTTTATTTAAAGAAAATAGAAAATAACATTTAAATATTTAAAATGTATGTCAAAAGATATATAAAATAAAATGTGACATGAATATTTTATTTTATCAAAC